AAATTTTAGATAGGTAATTACCATTTTAATACAAAAAGTCAGAAAAATAAAGTCGCAAAAATGTTATAATAAAAAGAATCGTAACATTAATAAAAAAATGGTGTGTGAAAATTAATTAGTGATTTTAGAAATTTTAAGGTTGTTAGAATGTTAAAATTGTCAATCATTTCTTAACCAATACTCTCGAAAGAAAACCTTATTCCTCCACAAATTGTGAATAAAAAAAAACATAATAATTCACAGATGAATCGATGTAAAAAATAAAAATCGTAGAAAAACGATATAAAGATTGAGACAAAAAAAATCAAATATCAATTATTCTTTCCTTACAATTTAAGGTTCTAACGAAATAAAACACAAAGATGCATTCCAACATCTCTGTTGAGATAATGCAGATTTCTCGATAGAAGCAAAATATACTACAACTTGTTTGATCAATAATTTTTTTATTACAAATGTATTGATGCAAGAAAAAAGACGACCAATCATTTTTTAGGGAACCGTAGTGAATATTGATAGAGACATATAAGTTGCGGATTTGTGCAAAAGAAGATATCTTGCATATGCATACGCTTTAATTTTTATTAATGCACATACTATTTTTTTTTTCACATATAACATTATATATGTCTAACAATTTGCTCTAAATGTTTATTTTTCTAACATAGATAATTATGTACTACAACAACAATTTTTTGAAATATTAAATACACAAATAATCAATAACCTAGAATTGTTGCATATTTTACCATGTTAATTTTTAAATCCACGCAACGCGTGGACAATCTCTAGTAGTTTATATTTGACACATTCACATAATGTGTTGTTGTATTATGTTCGCATCCTCATTTAATAAATTTTACTATTGAGTCAATGGTCAACATTAAAATTTCTTGGGATATGTCCATATAATATCTTAATGTGAAAAAAATTTCTCTGAGATAAAGAATCATGGGATGGTCATCAAGACCGTTTCCCTCTTCTCACGAGGTTCATAGTTTACTTTGGTTACCACGTGACACTTAGCGATTCATTGCTTTTCAAATAAAAAGAATATCCTCG